TAAAAAATTTTGAATTTCTCAGTAATTTAAGTATAATGCAGAAAACATCAACGTAAAATGCTCTTAATTTTTTATAATTAGCCATGACTTTTCGGACTTGTTTTTTTGGAGTTTAACTTGAGTATAATTCTTGAGTTGAATTTGAATTATAATTTGAGTTGAACTTGTAACTTGAGTTTGTGTTTGGTTATGTACATTTGAGTTATGGTTTGAGATAAAAATCTTTTTGAGTTTGTGTTTGAGTTAGTTAAAACTTGAATTTGTATTTAGATAGTATTTTAATAAAAACTCAATGCTGATGAAAAATTTTAATAGAGTATATGGATTGGGTTTTATTCGTCTTTTTGTTGTCAACGCATAGAAAAAAAAATCATCTCAATCAGAATTAAAACGAAAAAGTTATAGCATTTTTAAGAATAGAAAAAATATTGTTCATTAATTTGAGTTCGAATTTCTGAACTCGAGTTAAAGGAGAAACTTGAACTCTAATTTTAGTCATAAACTTGAGTTTAAATTTAAAAGAACATGAACTCGAATAAAGTTGTAACTCGAATTACCTTTTTTTAAAGTTTTTCACTCAAAAGAACAAGCCATAAATTCCTTGATCCTAGAACTGATAGTGATCAGATCCCTGAGTAATTTTAGGCCCCGTTCAGTTCACTGATTCAAGTTGAGATGTGACTTTATGTGAAAGCTTTTTACTATAGCAATATCGGAATACTAAAATGGGAGGGTAGATATCTTATAAAACAAAAGTATGGGGCACTCCTAAAGATACTTTTTACTCTAAAGACTATTTTCCAATTCGTAAAACTAGTGCAGTTTGTTGTTCCTAGTTGAGTGTTGCAGCGGTAACTATAGGTGCGTTCAGAATTCGTTATAAAATGATTTTATTTTTTATATGAAAATAAAAATAAAAACGTTTTTAATTTCAGACAAAAATTATTTTTAAAAATGCGTTTGGTAATTTTATCAACAGATTGTTTTCGGTATAAAAAAACCCCATTAATGTCTCTCTCTGCTCGAGAGAGGAGAAAACGAAAATAAAAAATAAAAAATGACTAAAAATTGTTTTACATTTCTCTCTTATTTTACACTAAATTAAAAAATCGTTTTCATTTTTATTTTTTATCATTATTACGCCAAACACCGTTTTAAAAACGTTAAATTTAAAGATGAATTTAATTTTTAAGTTCCAATACTCTTGAGTCCCAATTTTAAGGTCTTTAACGTTGGATTTATAGCGGCGTGAATGAAACTGAGCTCACATTTGAGTTGAATCAGTGCATGTTCTTCTCATCCTATTAGAGCACTAAATATTTACATTGGATGAAGAGCGGGAGCGGGATGACACAAATATTTGACCCGTTTAGTTCGTTAATTTGAATTTTTAATTTGAGTTGAAATGTGATTTTGTGTGAGAATTTTTTACTGTAATAAAAAAATTAAATGTGACTGTTTCTGAGAATATAACAAAACTCAAATCGATAAAATAAACGAATTCTTATTTATTTATTTATTTTTTCATTCATTAGAAACTAAGCTGGTGTAATTTTTTGAATTGTCCTTTTTAAGTTTTTTTAAGCCTTCGCAAGGACATGATATGTGAAATGAGCTGCAAATTCTCAGGAAGGCTATTAGCAATGTCTCAGGAAGGCTCTACAAATGAGGTGCAAATAATGGGCCAGCCAGCACCTTAAGAGGCTGGATCTTGCTGGGCTAAGTTTGGGCTGTCTCCTCTTTTCTAGCAAGCCTTGCCGACATAACCATTTCTTATAGATGAGTCAGGAGACACCAAAATAACTGAACTGATCAGAGGGCCCATCTTGTGGATCCTTTCTGTAGGACTACTGTGGGACTGGAGAGGTACTTCCCCTTAGCCATTTCAACAACCAACATTTAATTCATTCATCAAAAAAGAAAAAAATCCACCAACATTTGATTCCAGGGGAAAAAAAATGGTAACGTCCATGGTTATCGTAGAAACTTGTTATAAGTTTTTAATTTTATATTTTCTGCAGTCTCTTTAGATACATTGTAAAACTAGGGAGTTTTAGAAGAAAAAATTTACAAAGTTTCAACAAAGTTCAACCAACATTATTATTATTATTATTCTCCATTTTTTCTCCTATACCTAATTTCTTTCTCTTTTACTTTCCTTCCTTCTTACCGAACATTATGGGCGTAATTAATGCCACACTTCGTTGAAATTGAATAAGTATTACCTTCAAATAAGGTTAGTTATAAGGAATCAGATTAGTCAGAGTAAACTTGACGTTTTGTGTCTGGAGAGGAATTTCAAAGGAACTAAGAATTTTTGATTGTGACATTTTAATTCCTAATAATACGAGATTGATGATTTCTAAATATAAATTTTTCTAATTCTGAAAATATAAATTAAACATTATATTTCACTTAAATTAAAGAGAGGGTTTTGAATTAATTTTTCCTTTTCGAAAAATGCATCTTACCAATTAGTACTCTTACATTCCAAAACTGAAGAGAGGCAGTATTTTTTCTTGATAAATTTTGGTCCTTTTTTTTAGGGCCTTTCTTAAATAGCCGCGTTCTATTTCCTCTCATTCTCTCTCATGCGGACTAAGGAGACGTTTGGTTCATGGATTATAATAATGAGATTATAACCATTTTCGATTTACGTGTATTTTTTGTGAGAGAAAACATTGTAGCGAACTATGAATCATGATTCGAATCGGGGTCCGAATCCCCCAACCAAACAACCCTTCAAATAACCTCTGGTTTCAAATTTTTTAAATGATCATCACGTAATTAGTTAGATATTATTTAGAACATCAAAATTTGACAGGTGATTTTCGTCTCTCTTCCGCTCCCAGGGCTGAATTTGAGACCACAAATTCAGTGACGCTAATTACTACTGCGTTGAAACTGGTTCGCATTATGGGGCACTAGGATGGACCCCTGTGAAAACTCGTCCATCTCTATTTCCACATATCTAAAAGTAATCAGCTTCACCGACTCGTCAATGCCCCCCAATGGGCGTGCATATATATGATGGGCACTAGCTATTCTAACCTGTTTATGACATGCATACAGTTCAACACTCCAACTAATATAAGAAATTACCACAATTAATATATTGTATACAAACACACACATATTACACATATAGATATATGTGTGTGCAGAAACTCTCTTTCCAGCTAGAGATATATATATGATATGTAGTGACACTTATAGCACACTGTCACACTCTTTATCTAACTCCCATGTTTCTGGTCTGCAAATTAACCAACTGGGACCATACCCTGTATACTGGCTTGAAGGCCATATCCATTGACTAATGAATTACTCATATACAAACATACATATATATATATATATATATATGTGTGTGTGTGTGTGTGTAAATAGTTGGCATGCATTATTATATACATTTGATCTACATATTCCTATGTGACCGTCAGCTGGGGTAGATTTCTATGAAAAAGTCAACGCGTTACATGTTAATAATTAATGTGTACATGTACATTTACGTATTCTTATTGCTGCAGAAATCTGTTTGCGCAGCCAAGCATTGGGAAGGCCAAAATTTACAGTAAACTACTAATTGATCAGCTTCAACTACGTGTTATGCATGGTTTCTGTAAATCCCATATTTCAGTTCAGTTCTGCCACAAGTTTAACTGTAATTGGAGACTTTGGTAAAAACAGCTAAAAAAGGGTCTACTTCCAAATTTAATCGATACACGTATATGTAGTTTGGTGGCAGTTGAAGAACAGAATATAAATATAAGATATATTTTTACAAATAAAATTGCAGTGCCGGTGTTGAAATGCAACAGTGCATTTTCTTTCCCTTTCGAAACGCAGAATTCTTAGGAAGTTGCTTTGAAGATTGGGTTCATTGATTAAAGCAAACCAACAAACTGAAATGAGAAGAGAAAATTTAAGGTGGGTGAGGGCTGACTTTGCATGATTAATAGATGTGTCAGAAACCGTTGTGCCCCTAGAGTTGACATTTGAAGTCATATGCTGGGATAATTAAAATGTATAAGCTTCTTTTTCTGTTTGAGCGTTATAATCTATTTATTTTCTTGGTAAATGTTATAATCTATTTATTACTCATGCATTTTAGAATATATATATATATATATATATATATATACAGTACGTGTTTTGTCTACACATGATAAACTCACTCTTGCTATTGCTGAGTAACGTGTTTTGTCTAATCATTTTTTTTTTTGTTTTCCAAATGATACATTCTTTTTAATATTTTTCTGAATAATACCAGCCTTTTGCCTTGTTCGTTTCGCTGATTCGAGTTTAGAATTGGAGTTTTGCTACAGTAAAAAACTCTCACAAACAGTCACATCTAACTTTTTTATTACAGTAGAAAGTTCTCACATAAAATCACATCTCAACTCGAATTCTAAACTCGATTCAGCGAAACAAACGAGGCTAATCTTTCTAACTGGTGGACGTCATTCTTGCGAGTCAAGCTAATCATCTAATTTGTATATCCTTCCAAATTTTATCGTTCTAATTCGCTGTATTGAATAAAATCTTTTGCTTGTCAATTAACCACGTTTTTCCTTATACTGCAAGACAGACAAGACTAGCTAATTAACATTACCAATTTTCTAATTCAAATATTTGATCATTTGGTAACTTGCATAACAACATATATAATATTTTTAATGAAATTCATTACGTATTGACATGGGCCACTTTGTTGGTATTCTGTCGCCAATGACCCTCGGCATTATAAAACTCTTACAGATAAAAGTCCTGTTTTGGTTTTCTTATTTATTACCTGTAATTATACATAATTCAGCTGTATCGCTACTCTTTTGAATCCTGATTTCGCTAGCTACTTATCGAAAACACAAGTACTTGAATATCCCTACACATGTTAGTTAATTTTGACAAATTGATTATGATTGATTCGGGTCTCAAGCAATAACTTATTATAAGTTGTAATTATTTCATACAACGAACTACTGGCACTGGGTCATATATATATGACTAGGAGTTATGGTTGTAAAGCTGACGGATATTGATTGGAAAGGCAAAGCTCTCGTCTCCATCAACCAACTCCTTTGCAATGATGATATTTGCAGCCTCTGTCGGATGATATGCATCCCAAAACACATACTTGGATCGGTCATTACACAGCGCTGAGGCCGCTTTGTCTCCACCGCCTTTGCCATTGAAGCATATGAATGGAGGAAAGTACCCCCCACAACATGGTTCATTAGCATTCTCAAATCCTACAAATTTGCATAGACCAAAAAAAAAAAAAAACCAAAAGGGACACGTGTTAGATTTATGGAAACAAGTTTACTTTTATAAAATGAAAGTTTCTCTGGTAGGACAATCCTACTAGTAGTGTCAGTTTTTGATCATTAGATAATATTAAAATCATATTATATTGAAAAACTATGCAAAAACAAGCAGATTTAACGGTTGAAAAAAAAATACTAGTAGTTCATTTTTTCTACTCTTATTAGAGAAGTTTCCTTATAAGATATATACCGAAAATAAATGGAAAATTGTGAAATCCCATTTGTCAAATCAACTTATTGTTTGCAAACTACCATGATTCATTAGCATTATTTTCAAATTCTATATTAGTGTATACATAAGAAATGGACACATTGTTAGGGCTTGCAATATGTTGTAAGATAATTAGATGCGTATAGTAAAAGCTAAATGGCAGCTGGAAAGCTCATTAATATTTTTATCCTTTTTCGTACTATATGTCGGGAACAAAATTGACTACGTACTAGCTAATAGGGAGTTAAAAGTTTTTAGGCTAACCGTATTGAGGATAATTCCCAATGATCTTGATGAAGATATCGTAGGAATTTGCATACACAAAGATGGCATCCGGACCCAACTCCTTGTTGAATTGGTCAAGCACTTCATTTAGTTTCTTGTTGTAACCTTGGATCAAATCATTCACCTCCACCGAGCATTTCCCAGTCGGTAATAAATTCAGCGCTCTAATAAAGGGAATGCAGCCTAGTGGTCCAACCCCAACCACTATAAATTTTCTTGCTCCCAGCTCGTAAATTCGCTTAATTTACCCAAAAAAGAAATAGATTTAGAGAGAGAAAAGGGAAAATAAAAACTCCAATCAGAAATGGCCAGCATTGCCAAGCTGGATTTCAAAGAAAAGGGGAAACAAAAAGAAGCAAAATTAGTGGCCCAATCTTATGTGGTTGAATTTCTACTACTCACACGTGGTGTGGGACCCCACATGTGAGTAACGGGGTTTCAAACCCGAGTTCAGATTTATTGTCTCTATTTTCATATTTCGATGGCTGTTCTTCCGCTACTTATTTGTCATGTGATCTAATTTTAAGAATCTAACCAACACACATGCATGGAAATAAAATATTAAAAATACTTAAAGCACTTTACGTGTCAAAATTTAATTAGAAGGATAACTACTGAGACAGAAAAATAGGACAACAGATATTGATTCTTCAAACCCATGAGGTGTAAAAGAGTGCTAAAAAAATGTTGGTAAATGGTCATACACGTGGTTATTCCATATTTAATAGGGATTGTACCTTCAGTTGTATAGTCAAGTTGGAGACCATGAAATCTTGGAACATAGTAGGAGGGACCTTGTCGTGGCCAAAAAATGGTATTGACGGCTGAACATAGTTGAGTATGTCGTTGGACCCAATTGTTACTGAAAAGATTGCCTTCTTTAATAAATCTTTGGTACGATTCTCTCCCATTACATTCACCATGTAACTTCTAGTTTGCTCAAAATAGTTCACTTGCTCACGAAGTGGGACTCTTCCAATCTGTGCTAATTAAATATACATATATTTAATTGATCATCTTTTAATTATATAATTAATTGGAGCTAACTAGAGCAGTTCATTAAGAATTTATCATAATTTATGATATGGCACTTACGAACAAAATTCCTGTTTCATCCAGTATTCCTGAGGCTCCAGATGCATAATTTATTCCTCTGTGAACCGCTTCATCTCGAGTGTTTGGGGCTAGATATGGTGGAGGAAAGGACTTGGCCCCAAGAGTTTGACCTGGTTAATTGCATCATTTTTTTTAACAAAATTTGGGGCTTAATTAATTATAAAAATAATAAAAATGAGATAGTAATTATCATGATGTCACATTTGATACTATATAATTATAGAGTTATTATTTTAATGATATCAAATTCCGTTATAATAGTTCAAAAATTTTACTATATTTTGGTTTTATTATTTAAATTTTGTTATCTGTGTAAATTAAGAGCCCTAATTATAATGATGACGTGATGTAAATTCGTGACCATGACACGCGCTAGGAAGTAGGAATGACCAAAAATTATACTTTAAGGTCTCGTTCACTTCGCGGATTCGAGTTGAGATGTGACATTTTCTGAGAACTTTTCACTGTAGTAGAAAAAGTTAGATGTGACATTTTCTGAGAGTTTTTTACTGTACAAATCTAAAACTGAAAACTCGAATCGGTAAAATAAACGAGGCCTAAAGATGCCCGTTCTTAGGATCCTTATATCAGCTTAAATCAACAAACTAGCTACCACCTAATGGAATATTAGGCTAGTAATTAAGAGAGTAAATTCCCTAGACATTAGGCATTAGGCATCAATTCGAAAAGCTAGGAGACATTTAAATACTTTTAACTGGATTCGGGGATTCGAATTCTATACTTTAACTAGAGGCAACTGCAACTACAAAACTAGGATGATTTCATTTTTATGGAATTTGAAAATTATATAAAGATATTACATCAAAGTTCTTTAATATGTGTGGGGCCTACCAGGCTGATCTATTTGCACCAAACCAAGCTTTATGTATTATATGGTTGCAAAAGTCTTCACTTTAGATCTGCTTGGAAAGAAAAGTATTTATGCTATAAATATATATATATATATATATATCCAACCAGCTAGCTGGGGCAACTAGTCTAAAAGTCTGGCATTAATGCTTATCAAAAAACTGAATTTTTTTTTTGGTTAGACTATCAACTACTACACTACATGTGTCCAAACTGATGAGGTTCATCAAATGCCGAAATATTATGCTGTGGACCATGCAAAAGGACGTCGACTTAATGGGACACAACATTTAGTGGGCCATATTTACCGACAATGTCCGATATGGTTCGGCCGTTGGTGAACCTTCCGGTTGGTTGTCCTCCGGACGGCTTGAAGTCTATGCCGTACGGCGGCATATCGGCCTTCGAAAGAGTGAAGATGTAGTCATTGTTCCCGGCGTCCACAAGGGAGTCCCCAAACACAAAGGAAGTGAAAGGAGATGAGAGACAAGGCCTAACAATGTTGGTCATGGAAAGTGCAATGAACATGATCAAATTATATTGCCTAGAAAATTTAATCTTTAAGGCCTCCATTTTGTGTAGTACTCATCAAGTTATCATATTGTAAAATGCATGACTTGGTAAGCTTATTTATAGAAGATTATATATTTGGGCTAAAAAGAAAAAGAAAAAAATATGGGGAGCACAATTTTCATGGACTGCAGTAGCAGGTGAGAAAATCCTTTGAACAGGTCTCAGCTCTGCCTCTAAAGGACTAGGTCTATCAAACAACGAATATGGTAACGTGGAATTATTCCACAGATAATACAGAATGACGCAAATGTGCACCTTCTATTTGATTCTGTTTTGTTTTTCTAATATGAAAAAGAAAAAAGACAAAAATCTCGCTTCCTAATTTGGCAATAGGTCAATAATACTTTTCAGATTGTAGTACTTGTTTTCAGTAAATACTTCTTTGTTGGGAAAGATCCACTTTATCTGTTCAAGAAAGCATAATCTATTCATTATGTTTTGCAAATTGTGTGAGAGGAAGGGTTTTTAACACAATTTATACCCGATGCTTGGAGAAAAAAATATTCTCGTTAATTCCCATCTTCAAAAATAAAGGAGATGCGCTAAATTGTAACAACTATAAGAACATAAAGTTGATAAGTCACACTATGAAATTTTGGGAGAGAGTTATTGAAAAGGGATTAAGGGCCACAACTACCATCTCAGGTAAGCAATTTGGTTTCATACCTGGTAGATCAACCATGGAGGCTATTTTTCTTCTTAGGATTGTTGATTGAAAGGTATAGAATAACTAAGAAAGATTTACATATGGTCTTCATAGATTTAGAAAAAAACATACGATAGGGTACTGAGAAAAGTGTTATGGTGGGTACTAGAGAAGAGATGAGTGCATATGAGGAATATCAAGGGAATAAAAGATATGTACGATGCAACTGTCGCAAGTGTGAGAACTACTGGAGGCTACACGGAAGAGTTTTCCATTCGGATTAGTCTTCATCAAGGTTCCGCTCTTAGTCCTTATCTTTTCAGTATCGTGATGGACGAGTTGACAAGAGAAATTCAAGATGGGGATTCCCTGGTGTACGCTTTTTGCAGACGATATAGTTTTAGTTGATGAACATCAGGAGGGCATTAACTGTAAATTAGAACTATGGAGACAGACCCTTGAGACGAAGGGATTTAAGTTAAGTATAACAAAAACTGAGTACATACATTGTAGGTTTAGTAATTTGAGAGATCAGAGTGATGAAATTTCTTTGGATGGTGTGGTGATTAGGACTTCTAGGAAATTTAGGTACCTTGGTCCATAGTGCAGTGTGAAGGGGATATAGATGAGGATATTGGACATAGGATTAAGGCGGCGTGTGTTAAATGGAAGAATGTCACGAGAGTTTAATGTGATAATAAGATGCCTATTAAGTTGAAAGGTAAATTCTATATGACAACAATTCGCCCAGCTATGTTATATGGTATTGAATGTTGGGCCATTAAGAGACAACAAATATACACGATGAGTGTGGCGGAGATGTGTATGTTAAGATGGATGAGTGGCCATACGAGTATGGATCGCATACGGAATGAAGTTATTCGTAGTAAAGTAGGTATAGCACTAATAGAAGATAAGGTGCGGAAAAACTGTCTAAGGTGGTACGGGCATGTACAACGTAGATCATTAGATGCACATGTTCGTGCTTGGGAGAACATCTAAATACCTAGTACTAGGAGAGTGAGGGGTAGACCAAGAATTACTTGGACCGACATAGTTAGGCATGACTTTTAAGATCTAGGGCTTCAGGATGGTCTCGTGTTTAATAGAACATACTGAAAACGAGAAATCTATATAACCGACCCCAATTAATTTGGGATTAAGAGTTGTATTTCTCGTTGTTATTGTTGTGGAGGATCTTTTGTATAACAAAAATTTATTCTTAAAAATATAGGGTTGAATTTAATATTTTGATGAAACAAATAAGAGAGTTTTGTTAGTATTCTTTCTTTCTTTCTTTTAGTTTTAGGCAGCTTTTTCCTTACGTTTTTTT